AGATCAAGAACGGGAGCATCTTGCGGCTGACCACCTCCCCGGTACTTCCCTCTGCCCCCCTCGGGTGGGATGTCCCGCGGCCACGGGCAACGTGTGCTGCTCCAAACCCTCTGCCTCGCTCCGTGACTCCTGCCTCGGGACAGCTCCTCACACCCTGCAGGAACACCACGGGGAGGAGACCTGTCTCAGCCCTCCTCCTCCCTTGGCAGAGCTTGGGGGAGTTTGAAGAGAAATTAAATCATCTTGAGATGCTTTGGACGTGTGGGTCAACTCATCGAGTGTTCTTAGTGTCTTGCCAGCTTGACCTCCTTCCTCAGCTCCTCCTCATCTCTGCTCTGGTTGGCTCTGTCTCTTGGTCCAGCTCCTCCAGCTCTAGCCTGAGTCTCCTTCCAAACCTCCTTCCAGCCTTCTCCAAGCTTCTCAGTGTCCTTCGATGAGCCCCTTTGGCTTGATTCTTTCCTTCCTGGTAGGACCAAGAAGCAGAGCGGTTGTACAGCGGGATCCAGAGCAACAACTCGGATGTGAAGACTGACTCACTGAAGAAACTTGCAAGCCTCTCCCAGGACGTTACCTTTGCTCAGGAATTCATCAACAGGAATGGCTTGAAGCTCATCTTCTATATTGTGGAAGAAGGAAACGCGTGAGTACGAGGAGAGGACTTTCCTTGCATCTCCTGACTTTTCTTCTCCCTTGCTGATGCTGCCTGAGCTCCAAGCTGGGCCTTGGGGTGGGCCCTGCTCGTGACCCCTGTGCTGTGGCACGTGGGCTGCTTGGCTCTGCAGGCTCCTTACCCACAGGTGTATGGCTGTGTCCCCACACCCTGGCAGTGGGGGAAGGTCCTCAGGGGTCTGTGGTCCTAACTCCTCCTGCCTTGTGTCCAGACTGGAACCTCCCATCCCTTTGCTGGCTGGGTCCTCTGCAGCCCCATGGGTTCTGCTGCCAGGAACCCCCCGTGATGATCCTCGTAGCTGCTCCCACCCAGATCATCCCTCTGCCCAGCTCTTCTAGCTGCCACAGGTCTACAGGCAGCTCGAGAAGACCCTGGTGGCCAAACTGGTGGCTGCCTGACTCAGCAGGATGTGACAGTGCATCTCCTCAGAGCTACTATCACTCCACAGAGGATGTGGAGCCCCAGACCAGGCAGCTGGGTCTTGAGAGCAGGGGTGGGGATCTGGGCTGGCCTGGCCTTCCCCAGGGCTTGCCTCTGTGATCTTTGTACCCCGGTAACTCAGCTTTCCAGGAGCTGTTGAACTTCCCCTGCCTCCACTTCCTGGGATGACTAAGTGAGAGTCTGATTTCTTACCCAACAATGTCTCCTTTCTTCTGCCTGCTGCTCTCTGCTTCTCCAGCTCTATCTAACGTACCCACCAATGCCCAGTTAATCCTTGTCTTATGGTGGTAACTGTGGAGTGTCTGGACCCTTCCTCACTGCCTTTGCTCATCCAGTACAGGGGAAATGCTGGCTCATACCTTGAAGGCCTTCATGGAGCTGATGGAGCATGATTTTGTCTCCTGGGAGACACTTAGTGCAGCCTTCATCAAGAAGGTGAGCACCTTCTGCAGGCTCCACAGCCCGTGCCCTTGGTGTCCCTTGTTGCTGGTGTCACCAGGCTCAGCCCATCGATGGGTGGTTTTGTGTCTTCTAGATAGTGAGTTATGTCAACATGAACGCGGTGGATGCGTCTGTGCAGCAGCTCTCCTTGTCCATCCTGGAGAACATGGTGCCCACCAGTCCCCTCCTCTTCGAGCTCGTCAGAAAAGAAGTGACGCTGGATCGTCTTCTCACCCACCTGCAGGTGTAAGTGGAGAGCCCAGAGCACCCTGGGCCCCATCCCAAAGCCACCAGGATCATGGAATCATAGGATGGTTTGGGTTGGAAGGGATCTTAAACATCATCCAGATCCAACCCCCTGCATGGGCAGGGACACCTCCCACCAGCCCAGGTTGCTCCAAGCCCCATCCAACCTGCCCTTCAACACTGCCAGGGATGGGGCAGCCACAGCTTCCCTGGGCAACTTGTTCCAATGCCTATTCCAGGATGAAGCAGTGGAAGGGATTTCTCCAGGTCTTGCTGACTCTCCCTGGCACAACATATTGTCCCTTCCTGAGCAATATGGGGGAGATCAGCCTGTCCTGTCCCCACTGCTGGAGGAGGGATGGGCTGTGGTGGGAACCATCCTGCTTCCTGGTCAGATCCCTTCATTCATGGCTGGTGTTGCTCAGATATCTTGGTTCTTCAGCTGACCTGCTGGTTTGCTGGGGTTGGCTTTCCCTTCCCTGTCCTGGTGTGTTGAGGAGCAGTTTGATCCCTGCAGCTTGGGGTGGTGGTGCTGGACTGGACAGAGTTGGTTAAATCCATCACTCAGGCAGGTTCTCCTTCTTCTGCCCTTTGTGCTGCAGAACAGGGATCGTGAGCCACTCCAACTTCTTCTTCTTCCTCCTCTTCCTCATACCTCTGCACCTCTTCAGCCTGGAGGTTTTTCTCTCTCAAGAATGGAGAGGCTCATGCCCAGGCAGGAGTCTTCTGCTCACCCTTGGTTTTTCTGCAGCTCCAAGATGCACCCGTGGGTGTGTGTAGAGCACCATGATCCCTCCCTGGGCGCTCTGTGGGGACCATCTCACCCCTAGTCCCGCTGTCAGCAGCTCGTGGCTCCAGAGCCTCTCTGGGTTCCCCTGCGTAGTGAAGGGGGAGAGGACCCTCAGGGCTGGTGACTCTCCCCATCCTCCTCCTCCTGCAGGACCAACACCCAGCTGCAGCTGAAGGCCATGGCCCTGCTCATCGCTCTGCTCCTGGCTGCCCCCGACTCCGAGCGGCGGGTAAGGGGCTGCTCCCCATGGGCAGGGCCAGGGTGACAGCAGGGGGGTGGCCCTGCAGATCCACCCCCCCGGTGCCCCTCTGGTGGGGGTGCTCTGCAGAGAGGCCTCACACCCCTTGGAGTAGTTATGGGGTGATACAAGATCTCAGGTGACAGGAGAAGTGGCACAGTGGCTGGGACAGCCCAGCCCCAGCAGCTGGCACATCTGGGCTGTCATGTCAGATCGAGACCCCCCTGTGATGGGGTCTTGGGCAGCTGGGTCCTCTGCTGTGGTGTTTGTGTTCTCTGGGGTGGTGGGGCTGTCAGAGGTGCCCGGAGATGTTTGGAGTCAGTGTCCCTGCTCTGCCTCTTCTCCTTGACTGATGCAACCTGTCCGGGCAGCCTGGTGGGACAGGGTCTGTTTGAGCCACTGTGGGGTGGGCTAGAGCAGGTCTCCTGCTCACCACTGTCACCCCTGAGACTGCCAGTCCCTTTCTGTCCTCACCCTGCCTGTGGTCCAAAGCCAGGCCTGGCAGGGATGGGGGCCTTCTAGGGGAACACAGGCTTTTGTGGGAAAGAGGGATGTGTGGAACTGGGAAATGTCTCACTGCCACTTCCCTCCCTAGGACATGATGGAGTACCTGAGGGAGAAGAACATCAGGCAGTTCATCCACAAGGTGAGAAGCTGGGTTCCCCTGGGGACTGCTCTGTGCATGATGCACCTCTGTTCTGCCTTCCTGGCCTCCCTGTTCCCTCAGCCCCAGCCTTTGGTGACCGTGCTGGCTGGGCTGCTGCAGTTCTTTGATGCCTCCCGTGGATGCTGCTCAGGGTTGCACCTCCTGTGCTTCTCCTGCCCCGGGAGGAGCTGCCTGCTCCCTGGTGCTGCTGGGCTTGGAGGAGCCAGGAGCAGCAGCCTGGGGGAACCTCCTCACTCATAGTCTCCTGTAGAACATCATCCACAGCTCTGAGCCCCTGGGGGACGAGATGGCCCATTACCTGTACGTGCTGCAGTCCGTCAGCCTCAACCTGCGCGAGCGCCGCATGAGGACCTCCATGGATCCCTACTCCCAGGTCTCCTGCCCAGCCTGCTCCTGCGGGGGGGAAGCCCTGGGAGAACCTGCTTGCCTGGGCCTCACCAGCATCCCCTGCTCCCCTCTCTGCCTCCAGGAACAGCGGGAGCTCCTCCAGTCTCTCCGCCAAGCGGCCTTTGAGCCGGAGGGGGAAGCGCCCGCCGGCCCCTTCAGCGCCGAGCGGCGCCGCTCGCTCTGTGCCAAGGAGTTCCGCAAGCTGGGCTTCACGGTGCGTCCCCGCGTCCCCTGCCACCTCCACTGGCACCTTCTGCTGGCTCCCCTAAGCCTGGTGTTCCCTCTTGATGGGAACCTCCCTTCTGCTCCCACCACGGGCACTGCGGAGCTGCCGGGACGAGGCGAAGCCCGTGGCTGCGGCAGGAGGACTCGGCTGCCTGGAGGAGAAAGCAGCAGCCGTTCAGCTGCACCCTGTTGTGTCCTCCTAGAACAACAGCAACCCAGCAGAGGACCTCCGCCGGGCCCCACCAGGCCTGCTTGCCCTCGACAACATGGTGTACTTCTCCAGGCACACCCCCAACGCCTACAGCAGGGTGCGTGCTCTGCCCCAGACCTCCCTGGCAGAGAGGTGCTGCTGGAGCTCCTCTTCTTTTCCTTTCCTTGTGACCCATCCTTGGCCAGCCCCAGGCCCTTCTGGCCAGCTGCCCTACTGTTGCCCTGTTTCAGGTGGAGCCAGCTGCTCCCTGTGGGCAGGAGCAGCCACTTGAGGCTGGTGGCACTGAAGGGTCCCCACAGTGTTGTGCCCAGTTTGGTTTCCAGTCCTTGTTCACCGGTTCATTAGGAATTGGCTTGACCTGGGGGGACACCTCCTTCTTGGAAGCTCAGAAGGAGGGTGGGGTGTCTGAGCCAGGGCAGTTCTCCTCGTGTGACACAAGGCAACGACTGTCTCCTCCAGTTTGTCCTTGAGAACAGCAGCCGGGAGGACAAACACGAGTGTCCCTTTGCCCGGAGCAGCATCCAGCTCAGCCTGATCCTCTGCGAGATCCTGCACGTCGGGGAGCCCTGTACGTGCGTCCCCTCCCTGCCCTGCTCTGGCCATGGGGACCTGCTGCCAGCCCTGCCTGCCTGGGGCCACCAGCCTCTGGCGTGGCCGACAGCAGCCATGGGGAGTGCCCAGGTTCTCCTGGACGCTGAAATCTGGGAAAAACTGGGGACTCTGGTGTCATCATCTTGCCATTCTCACCGCAGGCTCGGAGACGGCTCAGGCCTTTTACCCGATGTTCTTCGGGCAGGATAATTTCTTTGAAGAGCTCTTCTGCATCTGCATCCAGCTGGTGAACAAGACCTGGAAGGAGATGCGAGCTACCCAGGAGGACTTTGACAAGGTGTGAGGGGATGCTGGAGCTCCAGGTGGGAGCCCGGGGGGAAATGCAGGGTCTCTGGGGATTGTTACCAGGCTGGAGGTGACAGCCTGGGTCCTGGACAGGAGCTCTGGAGAAATCTGGGGGCTCTGGGGATTGTCACCAGGCTGGGGGTGACAACCTGGGCCCCAGATGAGAGCCCTGGAGAAATGTGGGGGGCTCTGGGAGTTGTTACCAAGCTGGAGGTGGCAGTCTGGGTCCTGGACAGGAGCTCTGGAGAAATGTGGGGGTTCTGGGGATTGTCACCAGGCTGGTGGTGGCAACCTAGGTCCTGGCCAGGAGTTCTGGAGAAATGTTGGGGTTCTGGGGCTTGTCACCAGGCTGGGGGTGAGAATCTGGGCCCCGCAGGTGCTGCAGGTGGTGCGGGAGCAGATCACCAGGACCCTGTCCCTCAAACCCACCTCCCTGGAGCTCTTCAAGACCCGAGTGAACGCGCTGAACTACAGCGAGATCCTGCGGCTGCGGCAGACGGAGCGGCTGCACCAGGAGGAGACGCTGGCTGTGCCCGTGCTGTGCGTGGGCAGGGGGGCCCACTGGGCTGGCCGTGTCCCCCAGGGCTCAGTTTTGGGTCCAGTCTTATTCAGTATCTTTAGGAATGACTTAGATGGAGTACTTCCTAAGGAAGTTTGCAGGTGACACTAAGGTGGGAGGAAGTGTTGATCTGCTCGAGGGTAGGAAGGCTCTGCAGAGGGACCTGGACAGGCTGGATTGATGGGTTAAGGCCAGTTGGATGAGATTCAACAAGGCCAAGTGCTGGGTCTTGCAGTTTGGCCACAACATCCCCAAGCAAAGCTACAGGCTTGGGGGTGAGCAGTTGGAAAGCTCCATGGGGGAGATGGTGGTGCTGGTTGACAGCTGACTTCACACGAGCCAGCAGTGTGCCCAGGTGGCCAAGAAGGCCAAAAGCATCCTGGCCTGCATCAGGAATAGTGTGGCCAGCAGGAGGAGAGAGGTGATCGTGCCCCTGTGCTGAGCACTTGTGAGGCCACAACTTGGGCACTGGATGCAGTTCTGGGCCCCTCACTGCAAGAAGGATGTTGAGTTGCTGGAGCTTGTCCAGAGGAGCTACCAAGTTGTGAAAGGTCTGGAGAATAAGTCCTGAGAGGAGAGGCTGAGGGAAGTGGGATTGTTTAGTTTGAAGAAGAGGAGGCTGAGGGGAGACCTGTTTGCTCTCCACAACTGCCTGACAGGAGGTTGTAGGGAGGTGGGAGTTGGGCTCTTCTCTCAAGTGAGTAATGACAGGACCAGAGGAAATGGCCTGAAGCTGCACCAGGGGAGGTTTAGGTTGGATATTAGAAGGAATTTCTTTACCCAAAGAGTGGTTGGACAGTGGAACAGGCTGCCCAGGGAGGTGGTGGAGTCACCATCCCTGGAAGTGTTAAAAAGTAATAGAGATGTGGTGCTGAGGGACATGACTTAAGCACTGCAGGGGTAGATGAGGTTATGGTTGGGGCATGTAGGTTGTGGTTGGACTTGAAGGTCCCTTCCAGCCGGGGTGATTCTGTGGCTCTGCTGCCCCTCTCCCCAGGGAGCTGCGCGAGAGGCTGAAGCCGGAGCTGCTGGGGCTGGTGCGGCAGCAGCGGCTGCTCCACCTCTGCGAGGGCACCTTGTTCCGCAAGATCAGCAGCCGCCGCAGGCAGGGTGGGTGCTCTGAGCGTGGGCAGGGCTCGTCCCCGTGTCCCCTGCCACCAGGGAAGCCACAACTCCCCTGTGGGGGAGCAGCGGGTTGGGCTCCCTGGATGCCCAAACCCCCGGGGTGGGACCGAGGGGGGTGCAGCCCTTCCCAGCCTCGTGGGTACCTGAGCTGAAGGTTTCCCCGTGGCCTTTCTGCTGCAGACAAGCTCTGGTACTGCCGCCTGTCGCCCAACCACAAGGTGCTGCACTATGGGGATGTGGAGGAGGGGGTGTGCTCTCCCCCCATCGAGAGCCTGCCGGAGAAAAGTAGGTGGTGGGGAGGAAGAAGAGGGTGGGAAGGAGGGGATTCCCTGCCCACCCCGGCTGTGATGTCCTGGGGGTGGCTGAAGGTGGGAGCTGGGGGAGGGGAGAGCTCACAGCTCCTCTGCTCGCCCCAGTTCCTGTGGCCGACATGAAGATGCTGCTCGTGGGGAAGGAGTGTCCACACACGAAGGAGAAGAGCTCTGGGAAGCAGAACAAGGTCAGCACCTCCCACCCTGGCCCTCCCAGCTCCCTCCCCAGCTGCTGATGGCTCCTGGTGGCGGGTGGGTGGTGGCAGGTTGGGTGGTTTCATGGATGGTGCCATGTTTTTTGACAAGACTTTAGCCCGGAGACCTCCTGGGTGTTCTGGGGGGCAGAGGAGGAGGCTGGGAGGCAGCTCCTGCTTGGAACCCCACTGGGTCCAGCTGAGAAGCCAGCTCCCCCTGTGCTGTCCCCACAGGATGTCCTGGAGCTGGCCTTCTCTGTGGTGTACGACGTGGAGGAATATTCCCTTAACTTCATTGCCCCCACCCGCTATGAGGTGAGCTCCGTGCTGGGGTGGCCAGGGACAGCTGGCAGGGGGTATGTGTGTGTGTGTCCCCAGGATGGAAGCCACCAGGGGAGTCCTCTGACTGCCCAGAGCTGGGGACAGAGGTGCCTACGCTCCCTTTCCCCAGTTCTGCCTCTGGACGGATGGGCTGAACGTGCTGCTGGGCAAGGAGATGACGAGCGAGCGCACACAGACCGACCTGGACGTCCTGCTCTCCATGGAGCTCAAGCTGCGCCTCCTGGACCTGGAGAACATCAGCATCCCTGACACCCCCCCTCCTGTCCCAAAGCCCCCCAGCAGCTTAAACTTCTGCTACGACTTCAGCCACGCAGAGCAGTGAGCTCCTCCCTGTGCCCCGTCCCCCTCCGCTCACCCCCCGAAATCAAACTCCTTCCTCCAGGCTCTGTCCCCCATCTCCTGCCCTGAGGGACAAGCCCAGGTGCTGCCTGTCCCCTGCCCATCACCCCTGCCCTTCCTTCCCTGCCCGTGTCCTGCCTTCCTGCCACAGCACGGGGCTGAGCCACAGTGTGTCAGGCTCCTTTTCCAGGGGGGTGACCGGGCTGCTTTGCCCCCTGTCATGGGCAGGTGACACAAAATACCTTCCAGACAGCCCGACCCCTCAGTGCTTTGGGCAGAGAGGGCAGGGAGGGGGGCAGGAATAAAGGTACAGGCAGCACTGGGGTCCCTGGAGGGGGGTCAGCATTGCAAAGGTACGAATCTGCACTGCCTGGCTCTCCCTGTCAGCGGGGGGGGGTCCTTTCTGGACAAGAAAGGGGTTAGAAGAGGATAAAATGCCCCTTTCATAGGATGAATCCCCTGGGTTTGGGCAAGGAGACGCCATCTCCAGAGCACTGGGTGCCTGCCCAGCATGGAAACGTTGTCCTGCTGTGCCCCGTGTGCTCCCACTCGGGCCATGGGGGTGCTGAGGGTACAAACCCCTCTCCCAGCACCTCTGGAGCTGGGTCAGGGCTCCCTGCCACCGTGCCTGGGGTAAGGAGGAGATCCCGGGGCTCCATCCTTATTGCCTGGTGTCGTGCCCGTCCTGGTGCCTCCCCCAGCCCGGGTGGATCCTTGCACACTCCAGCCACGCTGCTGCACTACTGCACCACCACAAGCTACCTCCTCCCCGGGCACCCCTGCCCCCTGTCCCAAACCTCCTCCTGCCTCTGGCTTCTCCCCAGGGTGTTGGGGCAACAGCCACAGGGCACCAGGGCTGCCTCAGCCTCCCGCCCGCTGGGACAATAAACACTTGTGGGAGAACTCGGGGCTGTGTCCTTGTCCCAAAGGGGTTTTTTTGGGGGGAAAAGGGGCCAAAGCAGGCAAGGAGGGGGGTGGTGCTGATCTGTGGGAGCTGTGGCAGAGAAGCGGGAAGAAGCCTGGAGGAATGGCTGGCAGGAAGATGTTCCTGCTGTGGAAGAGCAGGCATGGAGTGAAGGCACCTCCAGGGAAA